TCAGTCATGTGCAAGTAACAAGAGTGAACAATGACAAAGGAATGCTGTAGTTGCTATTCATTCAGGGTTATTCAGCTTGTGAATTGAATTCACACTAGACGTCACATCTTAGTCTTGTGGGGTCTCGACTGAAACACTCGTTTGGCAAATTAAATGTTCTACATGTGGACTATACAGTAAAAACATTAAGTACATTAAATAAAAACGATACCCTTGACTTGTTTAAAAAATGAATGCATATTATACACAAATAGTAAGATATTCTTGGAATACAAGATTGTGCTTTAACAAAATAATAGTACTTTTGGTAATATTTCAATTTCTGAACTGTAAAATATATTTACCACTAGAAACCTACAAAGTTTTTCTTCCCGAAAAAAAATGGCAATTTCACTGTCCTGACTTTACAATATAAAAGATTGGAACTAACAAATAATAAAGGATGATGTTCAAATCAAGCTGTGATAAATTTACAGAAAATAAAGGGAAGTACAAGAAAAGGGCTGGTACAAAGGTCGTGTGTCAGATGATTAATTAATTAATAATTGTTGCGGTGATATATACTGCCAAGAGAAACAAGCACTCACGCCTTCCCAAACTTGGGCTCCAGCTGGCTTTGACTCCGCCCCCAGATGCAGCACAGGAGCACCAGGAAGACAATGATGAGAAAGCCCAGGCCGGCCATGATTGCAATCCACATGGGATCCACCAGGAGGTTGCTGGTAGAGGGACTGGCTGTCGAACCCAAAGCGCCTGGTGCTGAAACAGAAGAAATGGAACACTTTAACAGTGTGTACTCAACCCCCCCCAAAAAAAATTGTGGAAGCAAAAAGATGATGTCCATTTAACCCCTTCTCGGCGGGAATTTCTTTCCGAAAGCCGACTCCAAGAATTCCTGCCTCGCTTGGCCACGAAGGCCACCTGCCAAACCGCACATTCTCGGTTTGTGGCCCAGCGTGCTGTTGAATTACACGGTGAAAAGGCTCATTGTTCGGTGGCATGCGGCTCTACTCACGCTTCCACTTTCCTGTTGACTCTTTTCAAAGTGGGGACTATTGTGAAGCTGGTGATTATGATGCAAATTCGGTCTTTTCATTTCTAGGCTACACACAAAGACCAATAACCATATATACAAGAGCCAGGGTCTGCCTTCTTTCACCATGTTCGCTCGAGCATGGGCCGAGAATAATAGCTGAAAAGCGGGCTGAGGATCTCAATTTTTATGGCGTGTCTTAACGCATCCCGGCGTGAAGGGGTTAAAAAAAAACATGTCAACTAACGTACATGTATTCATACATGTAGCTGACAGTTTTTTAAAGATAGCACTTTTAGCTCAAGGATGCTGTTTATTAAACCCTTTTTGCTCACGGCAGTCCAGAGACATATCCTGGTAGACATAAATACTCAACATTGAGTTCACAGTACAGTGATTCAAGTGATTTAAAGTCTTCATGCTTTCCAAACCCATGCTCTCCAAAAGGGAGATACTCTAAACCTTAAAGTTCTTGTCCTAGAAAAAATATCTTGAAGAAGCATCGTTGAAACTTGATAATGTTCATTTTTTACACGTCCCTCAAGCAAAATATTTTGGGTATACGTCAGGTGGGTCGCTACAATTCAAATCCTTAAAAGGCCAAATGGCCATCTTACCAACGTCACAGTTTTTGCCAGAGAAGCCCCCGTTGCAGATACACCTGTACTGGTTGACCTGATTGATGCACAGGGCTGAATTCTTACACGGCTTGGACTTGCACTCGTCAATATCTGCAAATGGTCAAGCAAAAAAGTGGCAGATTGAAAGGTACCTCCAATTTGAAATAATAAACTTCGAGGAATTTTTTTGGAAGACACGAAGAGCAAAATCAATTGATCACGTTATACTAACTTCAAAATTACCAGTCCATGAACTTGTTACGCCTTTAATAGACAGGCCAGTACTTTTGTTCCACAGGTTACTCACAAAGGATGTTTCCCAATAGAACAAAAGAGCTGCCTTGCTAGATGGCTACCACACGAAGCCTCTATAGTATACCATAATTGCCCTAAAAAAGGCTAAAGCCACTCTAAGTGGAGGGCTATCAGTGGGAAACAATCAAGGGACCCGCTGGAGAAAGGAGTTAGCATTTCTCTGAAACAGGACAAAAAATGTCCACAAAATAGTAGCGACTTTGTCAAAGCTTCTGTGATGTATCAGCGATGGCCTCCTTACCCATATGACAGAATCGGCCTTCCCATCCTGCAAAGCAGTTACATTGGAAGGAAGCAGCTCCAGTAGTCTGGCAAACGCCATTGTCACACGGGTTGTCCGCACACGTCATTACATCTGCAAAGACAGAATGAAAGAATGTATACTGTCTTGCTGGGATGCGGTACTTATACTGTTTGTACCTAGGGGGCAATAGGTACCCTGGGAAAAGTAAGGCGGAGCCATTTTCCTCAAGGGTGTTTGTACAACACTAGCATTTTGTATCTTATTTTGTGGATTCTGATATGTAAGTGGGCATGAGTGAAATTAGACACAAGTTCTCCATTTGTCATCAGCGTTTGATTGGTTATACACAGTCAGGTGTCCATGTCTTTAAATTCTTGTACTACTAATGAATCCATGAAGAGTGTGATCCATTACACTACCATGCCACTTTACCCTAATGCTATCAATAAACGGAACTGATAGTCGGTCTCACATTCTCAGGTTCAGGAGAGTCAAATGTCTGACTGCAATTTGATTATTCCTTGCAGTGGATATTGAAACGTGTCTTTTGGAAATGACTTGTTTTGGTGCTGAACCTCTCTGCATAAAATGCTTTTTGGTGAACACTTTGAAGTGTCTTGATCTCATCTTTGGGTGGATTTAACCCTCATTAAGGTTTAGTTTTTACCACTTTCGCAGTTTACTCCTGTGAATCCTGGCGGACAGACACACTCATAATTGCCACCTCCGACTTCATTACACAGGCCGTTCACACACGGATTGCTATGGCAAGCAATTTCTGCAAAAAAAAAGGCAAACACAGAACATTTCACAAAAACTACGCTCACACCAATTTCTTGCCTCAACACATTAAAAAACAACGCATAAATAGTTGGTTATGAGTGCGAAGAGCAAATGCCATAACTGGTCAACTGATATGCATTCATAAATTTACAAGATCCAGAACTTGATATGGCCATTCATGTATTTTTCGTCTCATTAACTTCAAAAGTTCTAGAACGTCTATGAACTGTCCAAATGCTGCCTTGGGATCACATTCCGATAGACCATCTGCACAGAACTTTCAGGGATGAGATTGACTAGTGATAAAGATAGCTGAAAATAGCTGAAGAAAGGCATTAAGAAGTTGAACTGTGAAAATCTCCCATACTTTTGTACACAACCAGTGAGGAAGAAAAGCCAAAATCCAAAAAGCTGAAATTGGCTAAAAAAAGCTGAGAAATCTCACCCCTGAGCTTTGGATATTGTAAAAGGTGGAAATGCCAAGGTTAGCCTTATTCTCAGTTTGGTCAAATGATCATTAATCAACAGCTTCGGAAAATCTAGAACTGAAGAGAACTACTCCAACTTTTGACTGATGATGATTAAATCTTGTTGGGATATTTTTTTCAGCAACAAGTCTCAAAGCTCTACCAAGAAGAAAACTCATTATTCAGCCTTCAAAGATCAATTTAGATTGGCCGTTTTGTCCAAATGTTGAATAGCTCAAACTGAAACGAAACAAAAATCTCTACATATCAGATTCCACCATTTTCAATCAAAAACTTTGGCAGTTTGAAAATCACTGGGAACAAAGTCTCTAAACTCAGTAAAGTTCAGTTGATGTAAGAGACGTAGGAAATTACCTGTGTCACAGAAGGCTCCTATAAATCCACTGGGGCATTTGCATTCAAATGTCGTTACATCCAGCTTCATGCAAGTACCACCATTTCTACAGGGTGAGAAACTACAAGGATCGGGTGGCACTGCGGGGAAAAAATACAACCGAAGAATTACTTCATGGCATTTTACTTTACATTCACTTGAAGGCAGAGATTAAATGCTTCGCCTAAGACCGAAGTAAACGCTCATTTTGAGACGGAAGCCAATGACGCCACATCAGACAGTTTCTGACACTGCACTTGGATGCTATGAAAACTGTAATTATTCTTAGTATTTTTATCTATAGATATGTAGTTTCATCTGGTTCAATTTTAATTCTCTTGTTCTCTTGTCTTATGATTGTTCACTGGGACTCATGGGAAAACAGTTTTTTTTTTTTTTTAAAACTGAGTGAGTCACCCAATATAAATAAGAAATAATAATCATAATAATAAAGCTGAAAACAAATTTTGGGTGACACATAAAAAAATGTAAGGTCTCCTTAATTTCAATATTCAAATGCCCAGTTGCACGGTATTGCATTCCTTGTGAATGCATACGGCAATACTTGTCCAATCAGATTGCAGGGACGGTAGAATACTTAATGGACACGCCAACCAATGCAGTCTCAGATGTTGCAAAGACAACTACAAAAAAATGACGGAATGCCCACACTAGGTAGGTAATGTAACAATTTGTCTTTACGAGAGCACTACGCACACAGCAGCAGTGGTGTTGACCAGCCTTTCCCTTTATCATCAGTGTGGGCGCACTTGTGCACGCTGCCCACCAGTCTACCTACCGTTATCACAGTTGATCCCAGTAATGCCGGCTGGACAATTGCAAAAGTACTGGTTGACCATCTGGACGCAGGTACCATCGTTTTTACATGGCCCACTGGCGCATTCATCAATATCTGAAACAAAAACAGGCACCAAGTTGACACAAAGATGTCTTCATGTGTCCCTGAGTTTGGACAGCTCTAGCTCAGACTTGCCCAGGGGGGATATGCCCCCGTTTATCTTCTGCCTTATTTGCAAGGTATTTTTTTCCCAGAAAACAGTTTATGCACTAAAATAACTAAAATAACGCAAAATCGTACATCTGGTTTTCTTATAAACATCAAAGTGATGGTGTGTGTGAAATTTACATGAAGTTGAGGATTCAATCTTTGAAAATGTATGAATGTCTTTTTCATGAGCACCTTATCCCCTCCCAAAAAAAACCAATGAGAAAAGACAAAAAGTAAGCCATTTGCGAGTTAAATTTGAATAAAATCTGGTGCACTGAGTTATCTGACTGCACATAAACATAACCATTTGAATTCCACAGACTAAAGACACTGTTGCTATACCTCGTGCTTCGGGGCAAGCTTTTGCATAGCGACCACCATCTCTGGATGGGACTGGTTCCTTTGTGCCCTTCTTTTCCATTGAGAACAGTGTATTGTTGCAAGGCATCTCTCATGTAACTAAGCAAAAGCTTGCCCCAAATCATGAGGTATAGCAACAGTAGTTTTAGTAAGGAGAATTCAAGTTGTTATGTTCACGTGAATTTAAAGAACTCAGTGTACCAGATTTGGGTCAAAGTTAACTCGCAAAAGGCTTATTGCTCTTCCCTTTATAGGCTCCCCAGTTTCTTTGTTCCTCGGCAATGTCTTACCTGTCTCACAAAAAAGTCCAGTGAATCCTGGGACACATTCGCAGGAGTACTGACTGCCCAGGTAGGAGCAAGTCCCTCCATTCCTACAGGGATTGCTGACCAGGCATGGGTTCACGGACGCTATAAGCAGTTGGAGAAAAATCTCATTGGTAGGATTCAAGATTGGAAACTTACCCGACAAAGTTTATTAGAGTATGTATTTCAAACACAGAAGCCAGCTCAAAGGGCATTGATTTTGCTTTGATACACTAAGATAATGAGAGTAATATAACCAAATCTAGATTCAAGGCACAAAGTCTGCTGAATTCAAACATATTCAGAAGTTATTATCTTCTGAAAAATAACATCTGATTTAGATAAAACTTAAAATAAAGCTATTCTAAAATGAACCAAATTGAAACTTACGTACATACTTCAACCATATATTAGTTTTTGTGGCGAAATCTGATTCCCGTAAAAATCTCCACTACCAACGAGGCAATTATAAAGCAACAAATTAACACTGCTACTTTCAGGGGACTTTCAAGAATTCACTGAGAAGTTTGGTACTTGCAAATCTTATATTGCATAAGGTTTTCCCGGAATCATGCTGTTCACACCCTATTTTTGTTTGTAGAGCAAGACAAACTTGTTTCTGTAAGTAGAATCGCCTGCTGCAATGGTTCAACTACCAGCTTGAATCAACCGATGCTACACCAGCCATCCAATGCCCTACCTGTTTGACAGAATTGTCCCTGGTAGCCGACTGGACAAGTGCAGGTGTACGCTGTCCCACTTGCTCTACAGATGCCACCGTTCTCACACTGGCTGTACATACAGGGATCCGTGCCTGCCAGACAAGTGACATCACATTACCGCGCTGATTAATTTACACTGGCTCAAAAATGTGAGCGGGGCCCAATTTCATTGGAGACATGAACAGCTGTGCAAACCCTACCAGAAAAGCTTCACTAGTTTAAGTGCTATGTTGCTATGTTTAAGTGCTAACTCCTGCACATGCATGGAGATTTCCTTTATTCCATCGTGGTTTCAAGCAAAATCTGCCGTTGAAGTAAAAGTGAACTCTTCCTGCTCTCACTGTTACAGTGTCTATGAAATGGACAGCAGCTACGTTAGAAAAAAAAAGTGCTTAACGACCCTAGGAAATTGGGACCGGATCTCTCATGAAATGTACCTCCATTACACAAATTTTCTAAGCTCGTCATTTTGATATTTCAGCCAGTTTGCTATTCTAACAATTAGACGAGTGACAAAACAAACAATTTCTACTGATCTCCTTTGTGCAACTTGTTGAAAACAGCCTACAACTCAAAGGAATAGTACTAGCAACATGCTACTCATTTTTACAAGGGTGAACCAGAAAAGGTTCTCCACGAGAGAATGGATTGGTTTATGGTCATCACTACGCCAAAACAATGAACTTAAAACAGGACTTGAACCTCAAACCCAAGGGCTTCTACTGAAGAGACTGGAAAGACTTGCACTGCTTTCAATTAGATACATAACTATTTAGAGGGACCATACAACCGGAAATTGGTTTGGTAACCCAGTCCTGTTCGAAACATGATTAACAATTGTGCATGAGCGGGAAGAAAACTTGGTAAAAAAAAGATTACTTTAAGATAAATGTCAGGTAAATGTACCACGTGTTCTCTATATAATACATACAGCACAGCAATAATGCAGACAATGTGATCTTGCCCCATATGCAAAACCCCTGAAGAGCCATATCGCCAAATAAACAAGTAACATGAATGTATCCCGCAGCAGCATGTCAACAGTTTAGGCTAAACATCTTCGGAATGTTTTACCTGGCTGCAATGCCAGTTGGCAATTGTCACCGTACCAGCCAAAAGCACAGAAGCACCGGTAGTCTCCCAACTGATTCTGAGTCTCAACACATGTGGATCCATGCAGGCAGGGCTCGCCGCGACATCCGACTGAATAGCCAAAAAAACAAAACTGAACGATATCAACCTAGACTAACTAACCAAAACTTCCATCAATGCCTAATACCGGGATGACATAAATAAGACAAAGAAATCACTTTCTGGGTTAAGAGTTCAGGGAGAAACTGATCACAAGATGCATTTTCAATCTCCTTTGATCTTTTTTGTGTTTTTTATGCACATTACCTTTAACCCTAACATTCCTCAGTCCTCCAACAGGTGAAGGATTGAGGAGGGTTAAGGTTAAAGATGAAAGGCCCACAAGTCAGGCAAACATTCATCACTCAATCTGAATTTTCCTTTTTACAAACACAGCAGTGTGATCCTATTTTTAATGCAGTAGGAAATTCAGAAGAAAATGACATGGTGGGATACAGCTTCTGAGAGGCAGCCTATTTGTGCAGAACCTGGGGACGATTCACTGCAACAAACTTTGTCAATCAACCTTAAACCTAGCTTTTCCAAAATCGGTCAAACTCCTCCCTCATACTGTGCCGTACTGAAATGCATTTAGCATTGTACAGCAAAGTCAATATCTCTCTCTTGTTGCTGACAAAATTTCAAATATCGTGCGCTGGTACATAGCAATGTGCTGGATTTTAGTACACTTTAAACCTCACCATGTCAAAGACTTTGAAACAGTATTCCAGCAGCGACGGTTCTATCTTTACAGAAAGCCACAAACCTGCTAGGACGTTATCGATGATCTCCACCAGGAACCCACGGAAACTCCGCCGGATGTCTGTGGTGAACCTCACCCACATCTGGCTGCCTGACGAAACAAAGTTGGCCGGGATGACGTCGCCCGAGGCTCGCAACACAAGGGAGTTCTCGTCGTCAGGGTTCAGGCCATTGCCGGCCTCGAACCAGTCAAAGTCCTGCTCTGTGTAGAAGTCCCGGAAGATGAGCCGCATCTGGCGGCCGTCGGCGGCCACGATGAGCCACTGGCAGAACCGTCGGTCATCGTACGCGTCCGGGTAGTTGGGTGACATAATCTCAGTAGTGCCGCCAGGCGCCAGCGTGATATTCCTGACGCATGTGTTGACTACAAAAAGATCAAGTTGTGATGATCAATCAAGAACCCAGCCTTGACAAAATTTAGAAAGACAACATACTTTTCTGGTGTTCTGTTTTTAGTGACCCCAGTTCACATCCCACCTGCTGTACCAGGAAGAGGTTTGACAAAACACCTGGCTAGATTGATGGCTATGAATGTAAGAGGTCTTCTTGGTATCTTTGAGGAGGTGACATAGAAAAACTGAAGTCTATAATGCAGAACTCCCCCCATCCAATTAATCACTACATGTATATGTAGGTTAGTGTACAAAACCTGGTAGAGTCAGTCCTCTATGTACTATAATCAGCATTTCAAGAAACCATAACTCTTGTCATCTCTTTAATTCCAGATGAAAGCAATAATTTTTTTAAGCTGTGCTTGTAGTCTTTGCTTCTAGGCAACTGTGAGTTGTTTCAATTAAGTTTTGTTTTCCTTCAGTCTTTTTTTCAACTTTTAAATATCACATAATTTTAAAGTCATTGTTTTTAACCCTAACCCTCCTCAATCCTTCACCTGTTGGAGGACTGAGGAGTGTTGGGGTTAAGACACTCGATGAAGAACGTCATGATTTTCAAATCATGATTAAAGGGGATAAATATGTGTTTGGCCGGTCTTAAACATGCATTTAAGACCGGCTCAGGAGAATGAACATGACCAATTCTCCTTTATAGCAAGGTCATAAACATTAGTAAGTTTAAGATCGGCCAAGCACATACAGTTATTCCCATTCATAAATACCTTTTTATTCAATATAAATAAATAAATAAATAAAATTCAGAGAGTCAAAAGAATTCAACATATTATGGATTTCCAACAATTCTGTTCTGAAATTTTACTTTCAGTTTCCCAAACACCCCTGTCCATTTTATGGTATATTCCTTTTGAAAGTTGTCCAATAGAATCTCCTTGTATATGGATTTGGCGTGCGCAAGGCGCGCTCTGCTTGCATCACACACAGACTCATAACCAATAGGAATGGAGTAAACTGTCTCGTATCCGGGTGCCAGAGCGTCTTTTATGTAGCAGGCATTATCACTTCTCAGTGGGCATTATCAAATGTCAATACACGTCAAGTTGCATGTTGTTGAATAGGGAGACTGTCTGAGGTATTTATGAATAATAGATGAACGAATGGAGTGACATTCCTTGACTGCATATCCTTCAGTCCATGGATTTTCTTGCAAACTCTTTAGATTTTCTGGACAGACTCTTTGCCGTTATTTCAACATGCCTGGATATACTACAGAAAAACAAATGATTACAATGTATCTAATTACTAAGGTTTCTCGTACTTCACCCTAGAAGGATCAGATTTTTTCAAACCTCACAACCAGGCACGGGGGATTCTCCCACCCCTTTAAGATCTTGAGTTTGCCAAGATTGATCATAGAATTTGCATGCCAGCAGGGGCATCCATTATAAGCTCTTGCACGAGATTTCAATTCAATCCAGTGAGGGTTTTTCGCTGTTATGTTTATTCACAGTTCAGGCTCTCACGTGTGTTGACTTGTGCATTGCGCACAGGCCGGTGGGAAGTCAAATGCTGGCCTACCTGTCTTGGAAAAAGGGGACATGTTCTAAAAATGCTATGTCCAATTTCCATAAAAACTGGGGAAGGATTTCAAAGCTCCTAGAGGCTTGGTGGGGTACCCCCCCCTCCAAGCTCTTTAAGGGTTAAACAACACCACATGCATTGCACAATGCCATTTAAAGATCCCTCCAAATTCACTAGCAATTTTCTAAACAAAAGAATCAGTGACAAGGGTGACAGGCTCATGTTCAGACTTACTCGCTTCACACCGTAAGCCGTAGTACCCCTCAAGACACTGACACAGAAAGCTACCAACTTGAGGGATGCAGGTTCCACCGTTGATGCAAGGATTGCTGCTACAAGCATCAGACACTAAAAGAGGAGAGATGCAGGATAGGTCAGTATTCATGAATATCCTAAACCACATGAACAAACTAGGCCCTAGATAGGTAGCTGAACCCTTTCATATCTAACCAGTACGTATCTATGCACAGATGAACATGCACCCATTTAAAGAAAACGACAAGTCACTCTTAGTTTAGCTTAATCCATACCAGTCTGTGCAAAACATTCCAATACAACCCCATCCAACCAACACAGCCAAAGGGCGACCATGCGATCCTGTTGGGACTAACAAGGGATTAAATCATCAATAAGGACAGACCATTGGCTGAACTGCCAAACTTCCTTCACTAGGAGACGGACCCCAGGCCTGAAACTCAATCAGGTAAACCACCACACAAAAATGTAAATTTTGTTCCTGGTTTTAAATAAAAAAACCCCAGATATTCAGATGTTGAAAGTCCACGGTCCAATTCGAATGCTCAATGATTTGAACTAACTCATCATCAGATAGAGTACTGGCCGCTGATCTTTAAATAAAGGATATTACAGTAAGGCCAAACAAATCAACATTTACAGCAACGTACGTAATTCACAGCGAGCGCCGCCGTAGCCAGGAGAGCAAAAGCAAATGTATCCATTCAAGAGATCATTGCAGGTGCCTCCATTATTGCAAGGATTGCTGCTGCATTCATCAAAATCTAAAAGAAAATAACACTGAGCCATAAACAGAACTTTCCAGAATGAAAAAATCTGGTAAGCAAAACTAGACGAGAGAAGAATATAACAAAAAAGAATCAGACGAGTAAAGTGCCAGGTTAGTAAACAGAAACAACAATATATTTCCCACTTCCACTGTGAACAGGTTTAGATCTTTCAAGTGCATTCACTTCAAACGACAAACATCTTCAACATATCTACTATCTTCCGTTACCACTAGAAAAAGGTCTTAATGTTTTTAGTTGTTCTTCTCTCCGCTTTTCAATACTGCCCTCCATGCAAAATTGGTTCCGAAGGAATTTTTAAAAAATACATCTGTCACTGTATCTGTAATAAATCAGCCTCCCAAATTCCACGAGACAGATTGTAAATGCAAGGGGAATTCTACCAAATTTAGTAGAATTCAACTCAAATCGGACAAAAGCACAGAACGGTCAAGGAGGATACTAACCAATTTGACAAAGCTCCCCTGTCCAACCGGGACGACACATACAGGAGGCGACATCACCTCTACTGGTACATGTCCCACCATTTTCACAAACAAGAGGACAAGCAACATCTGGAACACAGTGGTAAAACATCCAAGTGCCAACTATTAGTACTAGTCACACAGGGTGTTATGTGGTGGTGTAGTTGTGATCATCACATGACTGAACAGAAGACCAGGCTGTGTCCGAAGCAGGCTTTCAGAGCTACGACTAGGTCTGTTGTCAGTGGGTCTCCACATATTTCCAATGGAGTGAAGACCTAGACCTATCTCTAGACAAGAGATTCAGATGCAGCCCCAATGACAAGACTAGTCTGAAGACCAGTCACAGGACCAGTCACAAGATCCGTCACAAAACCAGTAACAAAACCAGTCAAAAACCAGACACAAGACCGGTCAAAAACTAGTCACAAGACCATACACAAGACCAGTCATAAGGCCAATCATAAGTAACAGGATGAACAATGGCAAAGGAATTTGTTAGTTGGAGTTCAATTGACTAGCTTGTGACTTGAAGTCGGACTGGAGGTCTTGTGTTGGTCTTGTAATAGTCTAAAGTCTTAACCATAACACAGGTGTTATTGAAATTAGTGAGAGAAACTGAGAGGGAAAGAAATAAATTTTGGATAAGTTTTAGATTTCTGTTTGAAAATCTGCAATGTTAGATGGTCTTGAGAATGTTTTGTAAGTACGATGAGCAGGGGTAACAAATATGAACACCGTCAGCCAACACTGGCATCAGTTGATGTTTCAAACATTCATCATTAACATTTCTCTTAATTGTCAATTCAATGTCTTTGCAAGTTATACATGTTTTTTAATGAATTAAATGTGTAGTTATGAGGACAAGGGACAAATGTGCATAAACAATTAGAATTCTGCAACAAAAGGACCATTATTTCCCTCCCAATTGACACGAGCAGGTTATTCAAACGGAAAAATTCCACACAGTTAACTTCCTAAGACAGAAATTTCATAATTCAGATCTTTTCTATCGATGAAATCATATAAAAATGAAAGACCATAAACATGATGTATGCACCCAACAAGGACAAGTCTAACGTATGTGACCCACTCTGCAAAAAGGCCCTTAAGTCATGCTATGCCTCCGTATGTAGCAGACCATTCCGTACACCTGCCAGAGATCAATTCTAAATTGTACTGTATCTCGGGAATAGAATGTGCAACAGAGGTCACAAATACACAAATCTAATCCTTATTAAAATGCTTTTCTATCCGCAGGCATCACTTAAAATCAATTTGTCACACAGAAGCCCAAGGGTCATTTTTGCCGAGTCAGTCACACATATAGGTATCACTAGCTACTATTCCCTCTGACATGTCTGAAGATAGGATTCCACTTGTTAAACTCTTGAAATTACCACATTTCTCCAATATTTTCACCACCAAGTATTTCACTCCAGCAGTTGCCACAACAAATAGAAACCTCTGCGTTTTGCTCTATCTAATAGTGATACAATCTTGATTCTCATGACAATGACTTTCATCTGATGGGCATATGGGTAATTCCAGAAATTAGGGGTCCAAAAGTGTCACATTTTCGTGTCGGTGTTACATCTGACCTTTGTTATTTGACCTGGAAATATCACCGGAATTGATTTCAAACTATTATTATTTGTTTGGCAGGTAGTTTGCATTAATTCATCACTCTTGGAAAAACAAAATGTGTTCTGAACTTACAAAATCATATGTCAGATTTAAAAGGGACATTAAAAAATGGACCCCTAATTTCTGGAATTACCCACGTGCAAATCAATCAATGAAGCATGATAACTGTCCAGCTTGACTTCCAAATACAAAGAGCCAGTTTGTTTTCTCAGGTTGCCACTCTTTCTTACTTGTGCTGCAGAACTCGCCAGTGAAGGCTGCTGGACAGTTGCACTGGAAAGAGTCGAACAGGTTGATGCAGGTGCCACCGTTGACGCAAGGATTGCTGCTACACTCATCAAAGTCTACAAGAAAGGAATGCAGTGAGATTAGTCACACAGGTAGACCAAAATGTAGGAACGAAATGCAGAACTGAAGCAGGAATTCAATCTGTCAGATCCAATACAATGTACCACAAAACACACTGGCCTCAAGGAGCCCAATTCTATCATTCATCAACTGAGATCTCTATTCCGCACAATCTTTCACCTGTTGGAGGACTGAGGGATGTTAGGGTTAATGAACTGATATTTAAACACAAGCAACTGTGAATTCAACCTCACATGCTGAACAAACACTAAAAACTGTCAAGTCTTAGTGCAAAGGAATATATTTTTGCACATGGATGCTGGTACTGTCCCACAATGCACTTGTAAAAATGATGTCTGTGGAAATCTTGTGTTAATGCACTGTAACATGGTTCACTCCCTTTAAAAAACTCACTTCGTTGCAACTATCAAACTATATCCAACATGAACATAAATGCTCATATATTCTGTACAACTCAGAAAAATGAAGCTTAAAATTCTTTAATCAAAAACAGTAAAAAGTAAAACCAGCCTGCATTTATTTATCCATACTCTAAGAGAACAATACTAAATTGTTTCAAATTTATCTTGCAATTTGTGATGAAACTGTCACAATACCCAGATCACAGAGGGTTCCTGTCCAACCAGGAGCACAGTCACAGGTGTAGCTGGTACGTAAGTTGTTACAAGTGGCTCCATTCATGCACGGATTACTGGAGCAAACATCCACCTCTGAAATTGCAAACATTGGCATACAATTGGAATCTGGTTTACCATGTTTATGATAAGTGGCATGCATGATGCATGGATGTTAAACCTTCAAACCTAAGAATTCTCCCTTCTTTTTGTTAATGTACCTATCAATTCCTGCCCTTTCTCTCCAACTGGACTGCCATTGTGATCATTTGTTTTTGAAATGAAGCATTTCTACCGATTGATAACGTGACAACTCCCGACACATAGTTTGGGGCATTCAGCCTTCACAAATTGGAACAATGTAAAGTCTTGAGTCATTCAGTTTAATTCTGTTGAAAATTCCCACATATCAACTTTACCAACAGGGAAAATACTTTTTTCAATCCGATGGCATATCACTCTCCTAAATGTAAGTGTTGTGAAAATATCGTTTTATGTCTTCAGTGGAACCAAATTAGCTATCACAGCGGACGAAGGGACAAGTAGCGGGAGGTACAATAATCAATGGCAATATAATGGCAAATCACAAGGCACAGATGCAGCCCAGAGAGGGTAGCTGGGACATTAACAGGTCCATAACTGTGTATCTACAACTTATAAATAGTGCATTCAATTCTAGACTATTCAACAAAGCAACTGTGAAGTTAAGATAAAAAAGTTTCAAGGTTCACAAGATTTTCAGAACCTCATGGAAAGTTTTTACAAGGTTCTAGTACACAGTATAAAAGATTAGTTTTGATTAGTGATGGATTAGATTAAGCTGGGAAATGGAAGAGCAACACTGGATTTAGTTTGACTGGAATTATCTGCCAGGGAGGGGTTGTAATAAGATATTAAAAAACTTGAATCAAGCAAATGACAAGCAGGCTCCATGTTAAGATTCTGCAAAGCAAGCAAGATGTCATCATTATAGTTAAACCAAAACCATATTTGGGAGCAGATTTACACTATTCAAATTGTATGTTTTGAGAGAGACAGTGTTAATAAATCACAGTTGTTACTTTAATCACTTGATTTGGATAGAAAATGTTGGTTCAAAATAAACTTTGTCACAAAAAAGCAACTGTCATCCAGGAACAGAAGTGAGGCGGAACTTGCAAGGCAGAGGATCTTCTACACCACTGCAAGGAGGTTTCTTAGCCATTTAGATATTCCAAATTTGCCAGTATGGTCTCCCTTTCAACGATGTGTAATGTAGAAAACCAAGTAAATAATTTCAGAAATTTGGGGCTCTTTCTACACGTACTGCCCAAGGATTCCACGAACAAAATGTGCCATATGAACACCATAGCACGCACTGTCAATTTCAGAAAGAGGGAGGGTTGAGAAGAAAGGAAAGGATTACAGGTAATGGAAGAGGTTAGAGAAGAGGATTATGGGAAAGGGAATGATGGGATAGGCACTGACCTAATTTGCACAGATCTCCTGTGAACCCCGCTTGACAGATACACAGAAATCCATTCAGTGTCTCAACGCATGCTGCATTATTCCAACATGGGTTGGCATCACAGAAACGGACACCTTCACACGGGAGGTAAATTACAGTGATCATAAACAACTTGGGCTTAAAGCCTTAAGCCAAATTCCAACATAGGTCAGCAGCGAATGACAGAAAAAAAAATTTTGAAATGGGGCTGAAATACTGTGATTTAATTATTCCTTTCAATTAGGGCATTAGTCCAAGAATCGACGCCATGCACTTTCATGGACAAATGCCAAAAGTTACTACATGCATTTTGATTTCCATTTCTGTCATTTCATGAACCTGCTCTGTTTCTCTTGGCAGACACGTGAAACTTGGAGACTGCATCATCTTTATCAACTATTTCTAAAATCAAATCTTGTATATTGTACTTTTTACATATATGGCTCAATACCGAACTAATCACCGGTCTCAAAATGATGACCACTAGTGCCCTCAACCAATGCACATGGAGCAGAAAAAATAAACATCAAATCATGATATTTTTTAATGACAGGCATTTGGCAAAACATGCTTTGCAGGACCTGCGACATTTCAGATAAACGTTGACAATGAGGCTCATTACTTGGGTACATGGGAAAAAAAGACTACAGAAAATTATCTTCCCATCTGAATGTCTAAAAAGAAAAATATCTTCCCATCAGAATGTCTAAAAAAGAAAAATATCTTCCCATCAGAATGCCTAAAAAGAAAAATATCTTCTGACCGGAAAGCAAAACATTTTCATTGGAAACTTATTTCTCAAGAGATGTAAGAGTAAATTTTGACTGTAGTGGGACCCGAAGTTCTTTTTACAAATTGTATAACAGTTTCTTTTGAACACATCTAATTTCGGATGAACATGTTTGTTATGCATCCAAAAGGGTTAGGCAACAAACAGCAGGCCAACCTGAGGTATATTCCACTTTTACCAAGAGTATTTTACAATGTCATTGCTACAAATCAAATCAATTCTGAACTCAATCCCTTTCAAGTGGAAACCACCTCCGACATGAAAGCAACAGGAGCAATGGATGAAGCAGCAACTAAGCCATATAGGACAAGTCAGAGCCAAAACCATTTTTCACCCACGAGCTGACTTTCCCTGGTAACCCATGCACAAAAGATATCCTGGATACCAGGCAAACTCAACCGGTGGTTGACAATGTGGTAATCACTTGAACTTTCCCAATAGCTAAAAGCGATGGTGTGGTTTAAGGCACTGTGCATCAGTAGCAGTTATTACACTTACGTGCTTGGCAGTTTAGCCCTTCCCATTCCGGAGGGCAAATGCACTGGTAGAAAAACCGGAAGTTCTGACAAGTTCCATCATTGATGCATGGATTGGAAGCACAGGCGTCGAGTTCTAAAATGAGAAATACCACATAAATGTTGACTGCTTTGAGTGACACAGCAAACCTAGCATCAAGAGGTGATATATCAAGCTTATATTTCTGATTTGAAGCTGAGAGTAATGCTTCATAAAACAAAATGAAGTGAACTGTTAATCTTTATAATGAACCATACACTGAGGTAACCAAGGGGGATTGCCAGACCTATTGCTAGATAAACCTTTTTACCCTGTTCGCAGTTGGTTCCAATAAAGCCTTGTGGACAGGAGCAGGTGTAGAAGTTGAAGAACTCGTTGCATGTGCCTGCATTCTGACACGGCATGGACAGGCACGCTTGCATCTCTGAACACATTCAACAAACATCAAATAAAATATTTATGAGCGTCCTATCAACTGGTGACATAAACTGACAACTGAATGGAAAATCTCTCAAAAAATTAAAACAGCCCGTGTCTGCAGCTTTCTTGTCGCATCAGCATAGCACATCACAGTTACCTTTTCACAATACAAAAGATGTTCAACTAAATATTATTGCAAGTTCCTGGCTGTAGGCAATTCACTGAAGCACATCTGATTATGTAACTTGCAAACACCATCTTCGGAATCAGTTCCAAACTATGCATACATTCAGGCATCGGTTTTTCTCAAACGATTACAGACTTTCCACAAACCACACAACTGTAACAGAATCGATTGGCTTTGACTTGGAGTAACACGTGTGCATGGGAAGTGACTGTAGCCATTTTCTCAAGCGGCTACCTTGACTGCACTATTTCCTGCCAAGGTGGTGACTTTTTGACCAAAGCCCACAGTTGAGAATCTACAGATTGCTTTCACCTGTTTCACAGTTGACACCTGTCCATCCGGCTGGGCAGAGACACGTGTACTGGGTCACCAGGTTGTTACAAGTCGCTCCATTCTGGCATGGATTTGGCTCACAGGCATTAATGACTTAGAAAACAAAAAACAGCATTATTATTAACAAACTCTAGACCAACAAAAACATAAGTCACTTCATGGTACTTGAAAAATTCAAGATGGTTGACGATGTCTGGATTTTTGATAAACCTTAAGGATCTGCAATCAATCACTAGGAAACAAAATAATGATGACCTGTTCTGGGACATCAACTCTTTACCAAACAATTTAGAGCTATAATTCTGTGATATTTCAAGTTAGCCCAACCATAACGAACTGATCAACAAGTCCACAATGGCTCAAGTAAAACTTCCAATAAAATTGACCCCCAATTTTTTCTTCTAGAGAAAAGCTACACAATTTTCCCAGTCTTCCCCTTCTGAATGTTACCCAAATCTTCCTATTTTCTGAGAATTGAACAATTTTCCAAATTTCTTTCTGGAAGCCACCCTCCCCATTTTTCCCTGGAAATTTCCAAAATTTGGCAAAACTTAGACCATGGCAAATAAGAAAACTCTTGTTACATTATTTTCTATGCTTGATGAGCACTAAGAAGAATAACAGTACCAAGGTATATGCCTACTTGGAATGTCTCCATCATCAATGACTTCTAAGACAGTACCTAATGACCCAAAAGTGACACGTATAGACAACCCCTTCCCTGCCCCAAAACAGACAGTCAGACATGCTCCCAAACCAGCTGATAGCCGAGGATAGTTACCCTGGTCACAGTTAGTGCCGGTCCATCCCGACGTACAGGCACACTCATAGCCAACGCCCAGGTTGGTGCACACGGCACCGTTCCGACAAGGGTTGGGAGCACACATGTCTACCTCTGGGAAAAGCAGCACGGGATGGAGGGTGATGAAAGGGAGAGAGAGGAGGAAGGGATAACGAGTTAGCACTGGGCACCAAAATAGGTTTGCCACAAAACTGGGGTGTAAATACCGCAACAGAAAATATTTAATAAGTTAGCGAGCGAGGCACAGATTAGTGGAAACCTAGTCACAAGGAACGAATAAACAAGACTACAAATTGCGTGGGTTCCCCAAGGAAATGTTATTCTCCACTTCAGACAAAAACTGTCTCGTACCTTCCCAAGAATGATTCTCAACAACAAAGAAATTACTAAATGGAGAACAAGCTCAGGGAACCTACTGAGCTATAACTTCTTGAGAGATACTCTTGACACACAGTGGAAAGTTCTTGGCTGATATAATAAAGTCAATGCCACATTGAGCAAATGTTTTTGTCTACAAGTATAGTTTGAAAGAATTCACTACAATACAACTCCTGACCTCTAACAGGTCATCTTAATAAATATGCAATGCTGGGATGTTTAGGAGGTTGTAGAATAGCCCAGATTACCAATTTCATTAATGATAAACATAGTCACTTAATGCTAAAACTTCAAATCTCTAAAGTTTAACAGCCTGACTTTTCACACACAAAAATTCTGCTAGGCTTGTCACTCCAGGCCCTCACACTTTTATGCAACTTGGACTTCGACAAAAATGAGGAAATTACAATCCTTACGAGACTTTGTACAGTACGTTTTTCAATTTTCAACGTCATGAGTATGAAGTGAAAAATGAGGAAATCAGCTGATCCAAATCAGCTGATCCGAGGAAACACTACATGACTGTTGTACATTGCGATGCACTGTAGTTGGTGTGCAGTTTCCAGTAGGTTTGGTATTTATTCAAGTTTCATGGCCAGATACATGACTACATGTAGCTGGAAATGCAGCTCAGCTAATGCAATTATAAACAGTTGTGATATTACCTTTCACAAAGACTTCCATTTTCTTAATAGACAATACAGTTATACCCAAACATTTCCTGAATGAGCTAAATAGATCGATCCATTAAAATTTACCCCTCTGTGTTCTGACTAATCACAGTTATGTCCGACATGCATGCAAGTGTGCATGATAGGCACTGATGGAACATGTGTGGCATTGGAGAACATGTATTAAGTACCCACGTGCACAGTGGGCGGGGCTTACTGGATCGTTCTATTCTTCGATTTTTTTTTTCAAATGGAAATATCCCACAGACCAACCTGCACAAATTTGTACCTGTTGAAAAGTATCATACACTTCAACTGTAATATTAGAGTGAAAACAAATGTTGACAATGCTTGCCAACTAAGGCCGCAACGGGCATTTTCTTTCAAGTTATTTTGGGCTCGTTCGAAAGCCTATTATGTCTGGCTTTTAAGATTTTAGTGACCCTAACTACTTGGGCATTTTCACAAGTCATCCATGTTTATTAATTGTTCTTCAATCTTCAAGTGAGAGCAGGCCACAAGTCAAGTTAACTTTGAGGACCACTCTCTTTCTCTCTCCCTCAAAATCATCTACCAAAAACCCTGATAGATTTTGAAGGATCCGGGAGGTGTAAGGTTAATAGGTTCAAAGTGACCCAAGTTAGAACTTCACCTTGTTCGCAGTGCGACCCCGTAAAACCAAGTGGGCAGGTACATTGGTAGCGATCTGACAGTTGAACGCAGGACGCACCATTCTGACAAGGGTTGCTAGCACAACCAACGTACACTAAGATTAATGGAAAAATTACAAAGCATGCATTCTTGACTTCAAACTTATATACTACTTCATGACCAATATTACTCAAAAGGCATTTTTAAAAATATATTTTAGACAGTTAGAGTATGATGAATTGATCATTTTAGCAGTAACAATTGTTTTGCACAGTAAAACAGAGCAAGTGAAACGGCAGTCATCACCTCCACAATTGTTGCCAGAGAAGCCAGTCGTGCAAGCGCAGGTGTAAAAGTCAAAAAAATTGGTGCACGTGGCTCCATTACGACACGGAGATGACAAGCAAACATCCGGACGTTCTTCAAGAAAAACAAGAAAGGTTCTATGATTGTAATTAAAGTGACACACAACCCAGGTTCCCATTTAGACTGTAGATAATTCCGAAATTAATTTGCTTCAATGTTTCAAGGAACACTCAAGCATTTAAGAACCTGCCGAGACAGCCCCATCACCCAAATAGAGTACCGAAGTGAATACGTCACATGTACAATTAGTGTATAAAAGGCATTAGCGCGAGAACCAGGGCGTGAACCAACACATGCGCGTACTCCATTCGTTTGCACTGCACTTTCTGGTTCACAGTGACGTCACACTTCGGTATTCTATAATGCCTGAAACAGCAACAGAACATGTAAAAGGATTGGTCAAACAAACAAACAACCCAACAAACAAACAACCCAACACCCCAACAACCAACAAACAAACAACCCAACACCCCAACAAACAAACAAAGAGGGTTTACTTCAGGTTGAACGCGCGACGTTAGCTCCCCCGTGAAATGGAAAATTAACGACCTAGTTCCTGAGGCTCAATTTCAAATATCTTGGGGAGCTAACGGTGACTATCCCCCCCCGGTCATGATTTATTTCTATCCTGATGGTGACACTGTTGAGTGTGCTATAAAGTGTATCTGAATATCAAATTGTGCCCTAAAATGCGACCCAAACCTAAGAAAATGAGTCCCAAGTAGCTAAAGCAACTGCTGAATTGAAGGCATTCAGGAGAATCTTGCATTATCCTTAACATTGTTCACCCATAAACTGTCCATTTTCATTGGATTGTCAATAAGCGGTAATTCTGTTTTAGTTTGTGAGAGAAAGAACTCAAATTACTGTTTATTGACCTTATCTGGCCACAAATATATTCTTTTCAAACAAAAGCAGGGATGTACCTGTACATATTAAGCAAGTGGAACAACTGCTGCTTACACAAGTATACTTTGGTAGTTTTCAAGGGACACAGAACAGTGTGCGACTGATGGCTTTTGGGCACGTGGGTCTCTCGGGATGAAGACAGTTTGCTTTGGAGTAGTGATCGGTGAGGGAAATTCAGGTTTATGTCAATTCAGGATAGCATATTAGTCTCTCAAAACCTATTCCTTATGGCACTTACCTGTTTCACAACGGACACCGGTGTATCCAACAACACATTGGCATTGGTATGCGTTCACCAAATCCATGCACGTTGCACCGTTCAGGCACGGATTGCTTGAGCAGTCGTCTACATCTGTGATGGAAAATTAAAACAAACATACAATTCGCAAGGCTGTACACTGTAGAAAGCAACCCTAAGCTCTACTCTGAAAAAATGGCACTTGAGAGGCTCTAAAAATCCCTCCTCCAAACTTTTGAGCACCAGTCCTTAATAAAGATCCCGGTGAGCAACACTGTGAGAGAAAGTATTCAACATAAAAAATTTCTGTAAGATATGAAGCATGTAAGCATTCACTGCTCTCATTTTGGAAACACTCAAAATGTTATCAAGGGGCACAAAAACATTGTATATGGATGCATGCTTTGGAAACTACTGACTTATTCCACGTACGTTCCTCCATTTTAACACAGAGAACTTGAACACCCTGGAATATGTGTGGATAAGATAAGGTGGAACTTTTTCCAGAAGGAACCAACAACGGTAGCTGGATTTTTACCTTGTTCACAATGGATGCCAACATAACCAGGAAGGCAGGTACATTGGTAGCGATCTGACAGTTGAACACAGGACGCACCATTCTGACAAGGGTTGCTAGCACAACCAACATACACTAAAAAAAAGATAAATGCATTTACGACTTCACAAGACTGACATGAAATATCGTACAAACATCTTTGTTTTTGAATTTTAGAAGTAAAAAGAATACTTAATTACGGCCTGCTTAATGCTCACTTACAACCACTTCAGTGGACATGTGAAGACATTGAGGATAAACATTTGTGTAGTTCTTTCCAGCAAAAACAAACATTGAAAAAAAAAGTTTTTACCTTCACAGTCATTTCCAGAGAAGCCAGTTGGGCATGCACAGGTGTAAAAGTCGTAAAAGTTGGTGCATGTGGCTCCGTTGCGACAGGGAGATGACAAGCAAACATCAGGACGTTCTTCAACACAAGAGCAAAATGAAGTATTCACATCTTCAAATTCACTCTCTTACTGAAGGTGGACAGCTAAGAATGATGTTCAGATTCTGAAAAAACTGCGGCAGACCATTTTCATACCTTGCTAAAACCGGATTACGGTAAACTCATAAAAAAAGTTCCAAGAGCCTTTTTTGTTTTGTCTTCAATTAATGCAAAACCATTACCTGTTTGGCAGCGTAACCCTTGCCACGCATTCGTGCACTGGCACTGGAAACCAGTTGGCACATCGATGCATGTGGCTCCATTCAGACATGGGTTGTTCGTACAGTTGACTAAGGCTGCAACAAGCATATATAGGAAATATAAAGCAAATCTTAGTTGTATTCTTGGTACAGGCATTTTTCTTCTAAGGCAAGCTTAAATATCTGCTGGTATAGCAGATATTTAGGACGTAACAATGAAGTGGGACAGAGGTTGTACTCACAGGTTTCACACAAGATGCCAGTGAATTCTGCTGGGCATTCACACCGATATCCCCCTGGGAAGGATACACATGTTGCTCCATTCATGCACCCATGGTTAGCACAGTTGTCCATTACTGAAACCAAGTAAAGGCCGAATCAGATTTAAAGTTTCCCCACAAGGTGAGACTTATTTTGGAAACTTTCAAAATGTTTAAAATGATGGCCTTGCTGCATTCCATGCAGAGGTTAATCTGGTATAAATTTAAATGTGAGGGTGAAAATTTTTTTTTAAATCCAACAAGATTCGACCTTGAAAACAGACATCTGAGAGAACAACCTCCAAGGAGATAAAACAACTGAACTCCAGCGGCCTGCTGATTTGAAAAATAGTGTCGCCCAATACACTGACTTAGAGGAAAATTTATCAGTGTTTAATCGAGACCAGATATAATACAAGTGACATGACCAGTCACACGTTACAGGGTGAATAATGACTAAGGAATGCTTTCATTGTAGTTCACTTGAGTAGTGTGTGTCTTCAATCAAACTGGGGGTATCGTGATGGTATAAAGATATCCTAAATACAACACTGAAAAAAAAGTACATTTTAACATATTTTTGACAACTTGGGGAGTCAGGTTGGCACAGTGTTTCTTGACTCGCCTTCCACCTCTGGGGGCCTAGGTTCGAATCCGGCTCAGTCCACATGAAGATTGGGTTTTCAGTCCTTACCCGAGTCTGTGAGTTTTAGCCAAAACATTACGCCAGGGTTTTCTTCCCACCTCTAAAACTGAACATTTCTTCATTGTCTTCTGCGTTCATTATTATCATGATCATCCTGTAATTGGCACTAAAATGCACTGTTTGATGACAAGGTATAAATAAAATAAATTTGGAAACTTATAAACTCTCTGGTCCACTGACAAACAGAATGACCAAGGCTTCGTCCAAAGCCCTTAACATTTAGACCTTTATACCTTGGTCACAGTTGGTTCCCAGATACCCTTCTGCACACTGGCATTGGTAAGCTGCTCCTACCTCCATGCAACTCCCTCCATTTTGGCACGGGAAACTCGAGCAGGGAACGTGAACTGAAAAACAGAAAAAAGCAACGCAATTGGTGACAAAAGTAGTGCAACTCCAGTGCGCATGATTGAAAGATCTAATAAGCATGATTTCTTCTTGATTCACATAAAGGACATATCCATCACAGGGTATTATTTGTCATTTTGAAGGACAGGTCGCATTACATCATTAAACGGGATAATCTTTTGCAATTTTTGGATGAACGGTCATCTTGGAAGAGACATTATTATCAGTCAGGTTTCTGTGACAGCCAAGTCTAAAAGACCTGTAACATGACATCATGTTTTGATTTCATGCTTGCTTTCCTATGGCAATGAAGGAACAATCTCGATGGGCTGCGTCCTACCTCAATGTCATTGGAAGGCAAGCATATAAACAATGCACAGTCATTATACTGGAGAAACGGCATAGCAAAAACACTGCATAGAAGAAATTATCAATCAAGATAAAATTCTGCCATATGATGAAGTGATGCAGTCACTTACATTTTTAAATGCATTTCAAATCTAGCTGTATTATGCTAGAAGCCCAAGAAAAGCTTATATTGTGGTAACATTAGACCTAAAAGAAACTCTACGGTCCCTTAAAGAAATTTGGAAAATTTTAAAGCGAAAAACAAAAGGGTGAAATGACAATAATCACAGGGAACCAAGCGATGACGTCAAAATTTACAATGAAATACAATCCATGAACTTCACACCACACTGCAAACCTCAAATTAGAAATTCAAACCACAGTACTGGTGGTGTAGCTTGCCAAATTTCATACTTTTCCTGGGCAAATCATTGGGGGTGTGAAACTAAATAAACGGATGTCATACTCTCGCAATTGAGACCGATGTATCCAGGCGCACAGGTACAGGTGAAAGATTGGAATTGATTGTTCTCGCAAGTAGCACCATTCAAACAGGGAGAGGAGTCACACGGGTCGACTTGTGCTATAAGACAAAAACACAAGTACAAAAATCTTGCTCATTCCCCAATTCACAAAGACGATAAGTGATCTATTAGATAATACAGGAATTCAAAGATTGATGAAAATTAACAATCTGCGATCAAAATCATCAGTGTGACGACGAACGAGTTTGAAGAAATGACTAAGGAATGATGAATGAACTGAGTTATAGTGGTTTTGTTTCCATTATTGATAGTCATGAATATTATCAATGAAAAAACTGCCTTCACAATGTGACACATATTATTTTGTTGATGACCAATATTATTGCTAAATCTGCTAGTTACAGCATAGAGCTACAAACCCATGGTTACAGAGTCTCATGGCGGAAATCAAATGTTTAAAGTATCAAATTATTAATTTCGACATGATATGAATATGTGACATTATTTTCATGGCAGCAAATTTCAAATCTCTAAAAACAAGAAAAGTCCTCACAAATCCCTGTAAAACAAATGGAAAATTCAAGCCACAAACTCCTAAACAAAAGGCAACGTTACATGGACATAACTAAAGTTCCTGAAAACAAAGAAACTATACCATCATTTTCATTATCACACACAATACAGCCACCAAAACATTAGGCTGGGATCAGCAGGGGTAAAGCGCAAAACATTTCAGTTAAGGCCTGTTTACTGAAAACAAAGACAAATGTTAAGATTACGATCCATTCCAAAAGACCAGACACAACTTTCTTGACCCTTCTTCCAAAACGTGGTTAGCCAGACTTTACAGTCTGTCCTATAACGACAAAAAAACAATCTTGATAGAAAAACAATAACGAAGGAAACAAAACAAAAACTGTTAATAGGGAACAAAACTTGGGTACAAGGAAAAGGAAACGTACACAATATGCAAACATAACAGGTGAGATAAAACAAACTTTTTTAAAGATCATACAAACAGGTTTTCAACGGAACACACAATGCACCTATACTACATGTGCAACTCAAACGACAAAACAACACAGAGAATCATAAAAATCATGCAAATACACAAATTTGAAAATGGCTGGAACAAGAAAGACAATTTCAACAGGTTTTAGTTGTTGCTCTCGCACCGAAGGAAAACAGTATGGGCTGCAAAAAAGAAAAAGAAATCAAATAATTAATTTCATTAAAAATATTAAAAGTATGAATTGGTTTTAACAGCAAAGGAGGGAAAGATGAGTGATATTGTTATTGGGTTTGATGGAACAAAATATTTCTTTATTTGTTAATTATTCTCCTTCCACCATTTAAGATTCCGTCTCCAATGATCCCTGGTTTGGTCAGTAATTGAGCAAGACGATTGGATGAAGGGGAGCAGGTAGCCAGAGACAAAATGTAGTCTGGTGCCTGGTGGTGGTCAGTTTGAGGGAAGGATGAGGTTTACCGGTCTGGCAGCGGTCTCCCTCAAACCCTGCCGGGCACTGGCAAGTAAAACTGCCCGGTACGTCAATGCAGGTTGCTCCGTTCTGGCACAGACCCAAGGAACAGTCAAAGATGGCTAAAATGTAAAGGAAAACCAAGGTGACAAGATGAATCAGGTAAACTGTAGAAGGTTGAAGCACAAAGTATTACTTTCTGCAAATTGGCCGGATCTGACAAGACACATTTCAGTGTAATATTTGTGTTACTTGATTATCATTTTCCTGTTTATATTATGGGAAAAATAAGTCGTATGTAACCCCAATGTTTCCTTGCAACCCAATTATGATGAATGACAACTTCATGCCTAAGATAAAGATGACTACCCATTCCAGGCAAAAACAAGCTATTTGATTCTAAAGGACAACATACCTCAGCTTTTAAATGGCAAAAACTTATTTCTGCCTTTCATTTATACTCGGGCAAGTTCAACTTTGTGCACATTAAGTTGAAATTAGTTGCCTCTTTTGCAACATTTGAGCAATGGCCATTTGTCAATCACAGGTCACTTTTTCCTGCTAACCTGTACATAAAATACATCCCAGGTACCAGGTGAAATCAACCGAACTAATACCCATTTCTATGCCATACGTATGCACACATGCACATATCAGGGCTTTCCCGAGTTGCAACGACATAAAAATCAATCCCAAATCATCCATGTCCTAAGTCAAGCCAAGCATTCCTGTTTCTTAATCCTTTACTGCTGTTCACCTCCCTGGTTACCCTGACATACCAGCCTCTGCACATCAATCCAGCCCTAATAATCAACCAAATCAACAGATAAACAACAAAACTGACCTGTCTCACAGAAGACGCCAGTAAACAGAGGTGGGCACTGACACCTGTAACCTCCTAGCTGCGATATGCAGACGGCGCCATTCATGCAGATATGGTTCATACAGTAGTCAATTTCTGTGGGAAAAATTAGAAAGGAAACTGGAGAAAAGATTCACAAAACCATCCTAAGCGGTCCTTCTCATTTTCACCTTCACGGAAAGCGATAGCAGTATTGTCAACTGGCTAAAACCGCAGCAAAAGCAAACTACTAATGTTTACAGGTTTTACCAACTTAAGGAAAACTTAAAGCACTGTACAGGTTATTTCAGAGCTTAAATGCAAGTAGTTTTCTTCTTGTCTTGATTTGATATGCTGAGCCCCTTTTTTGTAGGATAAATGTGTTTCTTGGTTTTAACAACTTGGTTAGGACAGGCATAACAATTAAAATGAAGTAACATAATGTTTACACGGCATTTTTTAAATAACATATCCTCTGTTTAGATGCACAGCACAGAGATCTTCTAAAGAGGTCAATTGTCCCTTTAAAAGTTTTGACCCCAGTGACTTTTAGGCAGCCTTAGACCCTATTCCTGCCAACTTTCTTTACCTGTTTCACAGGTAGCGCCTGTGAATCCGATAGCACACTGACATCTGTATCCATTCAATTCGTTGAGACAAGCAGCTCCGTTCAGACACGGCATGCTACCACAAGGGTCAATTTCTGTCAGGATAAAGAAAAATAACAGTTGAATTCTTTTTTGTGAGCTCTTCATGTCAAATGGAAATATTAACAAAATTTGATTTAAACTGGACTGCAAAAAAAAAAATCATCAGTCTTAGAGAACTGGCCAATGTTTTGTTCTTTCTACTTAGTTTAAGAGTTCAGTTTAAATTCAAATTCATTATTTCTACACTTCTACAAGAAACATTCAGTAGTCACAACAAACAAAAAACACACACACAACACATGAACAAATAAAATTGCATACAGCCATTATGCACTTGCACAGTGGTGCATGTGCATGCACTGTTCAGTTAGTTTTAACAAATTCCTTTTTGTCGACTGTCACCTTTACTCGTGTATTCAAGGGAATCAGTCTTAAAAATGAACACAAGCTATGCTGTAGCCCTTTAAACTGAACATTAATGACCAGTATACTGTAGCCTTTTAAAGTGAACATTAATGACCAGTGTTGAAGTCCAAACCACTAGAAGACCACTAAGAGGAGCAGTCCAAACCCAGTCACAAGGGACATGCTGAACAACGACAAATGAATGTCTGTGTTGTAGCTCTTTCAGATAGCTTGTGACTTGAATTCAGACTGAAGGTCTTTTGTTGGACTCGTCCTGTGATGGTCTTCAGGGGGTCAAGACTACAACACACTGCCACTGACTGTTAAGCTACCATCTTCACAGTGGATTCCATTCCAGCCTGGCAGACACACGCACACGTAGCCTGCAAGGAGGTCAGTGCAGGAAGCTCCGTTCTGGCACGGGTTAGCATCGCACTCGTCAATCTCTGCAAGGAAAGAGCCAGGCTAGCTAAGCAAAGCAGTGAAGCAAAGCAGTGATTGGGGATAGCAAGTTAAGGGCAAGTGGGGATAGCAGGTTAAGGGCAAGTGGGGATAG